TCGGCTCTAACTATGAGGATGAGTGGAAATCACTCACCTCATAGTTCTCCTTTAAGGGCCCAGTCACACCATAAAGAGTGTGTTCCAGAGCGTTCGGCCTCTGGTATGCAACCCAGGCAGCTCACTTTTTTTGGGGGCAGGAGGGGGCGTGGCGGTGCATTGTAGTCAATGGCACCGAAGCCACGCCCCCCTGCGATCACCAGCACCCGAATGCGTGGCACACTAGCGCCTGCGTTCCGGTCCAGTGCGATCTGCAAAAAGTAGTCCATGAGGCACTTTATGCAGATCACACTAGTGTGCCACGCGTTCAGGTGCTGGCGATCGCAATACGGAGGGGTGGCTGTGGTGCCATTGACTTGAATGCACAGCCACGCCCCCTCCAATCCCAAAACGCAGGGAGCCGGCCAGGATGCCATACAGTGGGTTCCAGCAGCCAACTGCTCTGGGATGCACTGTAACTGATGTGAACAAGCCCATACAGAAGAACAAAAAAAGTGATCCATTGAGATTGCTCCTTTTTTTGTTTTTGTTTATTTTCTTAACATAGTCAACATAGAGGTAACATTTGAAGCGGATATATTATATGATAAATGACTTTATTTAGAGTGTAGTGCAGGCTACCTTTTATCTATTGATACCTTTTGATTATATAACACTCAGTCCTTTCACTGTAGATGGTGAAGCACCAATAAGCATGGGAACATCAAATGGTCATACAGTGCCAATTAGTGAGGAGCCAAGAAAAGAACAGAAGCCCGCAGCAGGAAATGGAGCAATAGCCTCAAAAACATCTGTCTCGGAAGAAAAATCTGAAGACAAGAAAGGTGAGGATAAGTCTATGTGCTATTTCTCTTTGCAGCAAAAATTATTCATAAGTGACATTTTTAGTAGCATTTAACACAGTCTGTGCGGGAAGGGTCTTTAGAGAATCTTTGTGTAGGAAGTCTTGTGTCCATTGTGACGTTGATATAGTTTTCGCTTACATCGTATTAACCATTTTTATTAAACAAAATGTTTAATATATGTACTATGTCAATTCTAATCACAGCAGTAGTGGTTGAGAAACCTAGAAGTGAACACTGTAGAATATACAGTTACAGGTCAGATAGGGTCACGCTGCACATAACTGTAACTAAAATAGGGAACAATTATTAGCCAGGCTGAAAGGAAATGTTTTGCCTATAACAGCCAATCAGATATTAGTTTAAAAATGTTATAATCACAGCAATAATTATAATCGGGAACCTTACCTCCAATTTCTTTACTTCACTGCTTATATGAGTCCATAATCTTTAACAAGGGAGCCTCAGCTTAAAATTGTGTACATAAATACACACAAAGGAACTAAAACAGGGATGTGTTTGACAGCATACCCTGCATATGTAAGTCCGCTTGATTTCCCTACTTGCTTTGTGTTTTTATGTTCAATTATTCACTATTTCAGCAGCACGCAAGCAACTCTTTTTTTACATACAAATTACCAAATTACCATTACGTACTATACATACAAATTACCAAAATTGTAGGTGTTGCCGTTTTCCACTACTAGACATAATGCTAATACTCAGAAGCCTCGGTTCCCTCTTTAACAGCATTTCTTTAACTAAATAAAGGCAATCAAGTGAAGTTTATATTCCGGTATTTCACATTAAAAGCTTATATGGTTGGTATCCGCAGCTACTTTAGCAGAACTGTGTTAATGGTGTTGTAAATATAATAAATAGTTAATGTGATTTAGTAAATATAATATATAATGAATGTGATTTGGTTAGATATAAACATATTAAACTAGAAGGCAAAAAGATCCTATCTGGTATCCTAGCTGGTACTAGTTGTACATAATAAAGTGGCCAATGAGTGTTCGTGCCTATGGCCACATTCTCCAGTACATCAAGTCAATTGACAGGACAGTTAATGCAGGGTCAGAGTAGAGGAAGCTCTCGTTTCATCATTATGTTGATCTGACATGGACAGAAAGCAGTAGCCAAATAAAAGGGCTGAAAGTTTGAATTTGTGTTCTTTTACGTCACAGGAGTGCCATCAATAGATTATATGTTTCCAAGACGTATTATCATTTTTGGACATTTATTATGTTATGGAGCATTTTATATACAGAAAATGCTTAGCAGATTTAAATTTTTCTATAAACATGTGATAAAGTGCTTTTCAAAGCAGCTGTGAAGTCCCTAGTATGATATCAGAGGAAATTTTATTTTCGAAGGAAGACATGATGTCCTCTAGCCAGGAAATTACAATTTTGCTCAGAAAAGCAGAGTCCTCGTAATATGGAAGTGAATGGTATCAGTGTTCCCTTCACGTGACCAGAGAAACAGCCTTCTCCATGCTGCGTAGAATGATCAGAATGACTAATGAATATAGTTGCTTTGTAAAATGATAGCTTTATCAGGCAGAATGAATTACAAGAACCCATTTATTGTATTTATATACAGTGTATGCAGTCTCTCTCTCTCTATCTATATATACACACACATATATATATATATATATATATATATACACTATATTACCAATTGCACTTGGTGATATAAGGCTTGGCTGCAGCTTTCTTGGCCATGGAAACCCATTCCATGAAGCTCCGTTGTTGTGCCACATGAAGTTTGGAGGTCGGTAGCTATTGACTCTGCAGAAAGTTGGCGACTTCTGCACACTGTGTGCTTCAGCATGCGCTGACCCCGCTCTGTCATTTTACGTGGCCTACCACTTCTTGGGTGAGTTGCTCTTGTTCTCAGTTGCTTCCACTTTGTTATAATACCACTAACAGTTGACTGCGGAATATTTAGTTTTAGTAGCAAGGAAATTTCACAGAACACCTGAATCCAATGATTTGGAGGGGTGTCCCAATACTTTTGGTAATATAGTGTATATATGCACACACTGTATTGCTAAAAGTATTGGGACACCACTCCAAATCATTTCGGGTGTTCCAATCACCTCCAGGTATATAAAATCAAGCACCTAGGCATGCAGACTGCTTCTACAAACATTTCTGAAAGAATGGGTCGCTCTTAGGAGCTCAGTGAATTCAAGCACGGTACCGTGATAGGTTGCCACCTGTGCAATAAATCCATCTGTGAAATTTCCTTGCTACTAGATTTTCCACAGTCAACTGTTAATGGTATTATAACAAAGTGGAAGCAACTGGGAACAACAGCAACTCAGCCACAAAGTGGTAGGCCACGTAAAATGACAGAGCTGGGTCAGCGCATGCTGAAGTGCACAGTGCGCAGAAGTCACCAACTGTCTGCAGATTCAATAGCTACAGGCCTCCAAACTTCATGTGGCCTTCAGATTGGCATAACAACAGTGCGTAGAGAGCTTATGGAATGGGTTTCCATGGCCGACCAGCTGCATCCAAGCCTTACATCACCGGGTGCAATGCAAAGCGTCGGATGCAGTGGTGTAAAGCACGCCACCACTGGACTCTAGAGAAGTCGAGACGTGTTCTCTGGAGTGAGGAATCACGCTTCTCTGTCTGGCAATCCGATGAACGTGTCTTGGTTTGGCAGTTGCCAGGAGAATGCCTTTCTTTGCAAATAGTGCTGGCCTATCTGTTTGTCCATTGCACATGTACACTGCTCACTCATTCATTCCTATGGATGGTGCCATACTCATAGCAGACACATCCTTCCTGTTGACATGGGGGTGGCGAGTGGCACACATTCACAGCAGACACATGGCCCAGCCAGCACTATTTGCAATTAAATTCTGTGTGTCGTTGGACAAGGCCACATAGTGAAAGTCTCTGAAGCTGAGCTGAAAGAAAGTATTTTATGCTGCTAAGCATGCTGAGGGGGAAAGTTATGGGAGACTATAAAGGAAAACTTCACCAAAAGCAAACTCCAGCAGAATAGCGAATTGCCTGACACCATGAGGGTGATTTGCTAAAGTAATTGAGAATGTTCATACAATAAACTGTGTGAACATTTAGCTCAATTATCCAATCATGTGAAAAGCAGATGCCTGTTTACTTATTTCATCTGCATGTGATTGAATAATTAATAATTTAATTAATTATTGTGTGAACATTCTGAACTTTTTTACATAATTATCCCACATTTTTGGTTTGTTGTTGTGTTATAATATACTGTATATTGCACAATCAAACTTCTGTTTACATTAAAACTGCCTAAGTATGAGTTATCTTCAATGAAAACTGCACAAAAAAAGTAACTGTAGACGGTGTAAAGAATTTAAAACCCCAATTTTTATTTTTTTAGTTTTGGATAGAGTAGAGGTGGGTAATGATCCCTGCGTGTTTCTTTTTTTCTAAGACTCAATGCGTAGATTTCTCTTTACTTCTGTTACCAAAGACACAACAGGAAATTAGAGGAAATCTTTCTAAAGTCTTACTTGTCACTGCAACAAGTTCTCCATTGAATTATTTCCCCTCTATTACTCATCAAGTGACAGCTCAAAATTTAGACTTTTCCCTTACCTTCAGTCCCCTTGACAATGGTCACCAGAACAAATAGGGTAAATCTCTACAGAGGGGACCCAGACTGCATTAAAAACCTGACTAACCCCAAACTAAAAAAAAAATTAAAGTGCTGGCTTTAAGTTGCTCTCAAAACATGACTTTTCCTCCTTGGCCCCACCTCCTCCTTTGCTCTTGAGCCTACTACTGCTCCATTTTTGCGGCAAGCAGTCACATTCATTATTAGGGATGCTTAAGGAGCAGAGCAGGGTTGGGCCTAAAGTTTCATCAGAGAAAGTCAAGATTTTTATATAACTTTAGCTACCTATGTCTGTTTATCCAGTGATCATTTTAACATTAAGTATTTACTTAAGGTAACCTTTGATTATGCATTTTTGTCAAGGTTTACAATTTATTCAGTTTAAGAATAATGCAGCAGCTATCAGACATAGTAAATGGGCCCTTGTACTTTTTTAAGTAGGTCAGTTAGATTATTTGCAGAAGTACAAATATGGTCCGGTTTGAACGTGAGACATTTTCCTAATTATCAAAGGATGTAAATATTTATTTAATTTGTTATGTATAGTAACAATGTTAAATGCTCCAGGTGAACTGTCATGTCACCTGTCATGTCATCTTGCACATCATCTTTACTAGATATTATTATATTAATAATAATAATGAACCCTTTAACAAACAGCCTCTTAAATGGTCATCTTATAATGTAAATATTCATATATACAACAGTTTACAGAATTACTCTTGTCTGGGTGGAAGTGCTTTCTTTCAGAGAAAATCTGGGTTTTATTTGAACTTCTTTCGTCATAATGTTAGAAACTAAAGGAAGTCCTACTAAGACCAGCTGATATATACAGTTATTTGCTAGTTGTCTGCTATCTGCTTTTACGTTTTAAAATGCTGAGCTGTACTTCTGTGTATTTTACCTATAAATTACACAACTTTATTCATTTTCAGTTTCTCCAATATGTCATGGTGTGATTATTCTTCTTCTGATAATAAGATTTTGTACTTACTATAAACTCTTTTTCTTGGAGTCCATTGAGGGACAGAGGAATTCAGGAATCCTGAAACAGTCAGGTTATAATGCCATCTGCAGGACTTTTGAACACTGGCAAACCGAAAAAAAAGAGTCTCTAACTATCATGCCTCAGTTTTGTAAGCAAACAGTACATAAGGCCAATTAACACAGAGGAGCAGGACCTGTGTCTCCCAATGGACTCCCCAAAAATAGATTTTATGGTAAGTACAAAAATCTTATTTCCATTATCGTCCATTAAGGGACTCTGGATGTCCAAAAACAGTCCAACTGAGGGGAGGCCAACAGCATTTGGCAGAGCTAACAGTGAAGAACCAGGAGCCATCTGCAATAAACACAAGGACCAGTGCCCGAATCCCCCAACAGGGGAACTGCTAAAGAAACAGAATAGTTAACAGATTAACCTGATGCTCAGACTACCTTAAAGGATGCTGAAGAGAGCTTATGGAATGGGTTTCCATGGCCGACCAGCTGCATCCAAGCCTTACATCACCGGGTGCAATGCAAAGCGTCGGATGCAGTGGTGTAAAGCACGCCACCACTGGACTCTAGAGAAGTCGAGACGTGTTCTCTGGAGTGAGGAATCACGCTTCTCTGTCTGGCAATCCGATGAACGTGTCTTGGTTTGGCAGTTGCCAGGAGAATGCCTTTCTTTGCAAATAGTGCTGGCCTATCTGTTTGTCCATTGCACATGTACACTGCTCACTCATTCATTCCTATGGATGGTGCCATACTCATAGCAGACACATCCTTCCTGTTGACATGGGGGTGGCGAGTGGCACACATTCACAGCAGACACATGGCCCAGCCAGCACTATTTGCAATTAAATTCTGTGTGTCGTTGGACAAGGCCACATAGTGAAAGTCTCTGAAGCTGAGCTGAAAGAAAGTATTTTATGCTGCTAAGCATGCTGAGGGGGAAAGTTATGGGAGACTATAAAGGAAAACTTCACCAAAAGCAAACTCCAGCAGAATAGCGAATTGCCTGACACCATGAGGGTGATTTGCTAAAGTAATTGAGAATGTTCATACAATAAACTGTGTGAACATTTAGCTCAATTATCCAATCATGTGAAAAGCAGATGCCTGTTTACTTATTTCATCTGCATGTGATTGAATAATTAATAATTTAATTAATTATTGTGTGAACATTCTGAACTTTTTTACATAATTATCCCACATTTTTGGTTTGTTGTTGTGTTATAATATACTGTATATTGCACAATCAAACTTCTGTTTACATTAAAACTGCCTAAGTATGAGTTATCTTCAATGAAAACTGCACAAAAAAAGTAACTGTAGACGGTGTAAAGAATTTAAAACCCCAATTTTTATTTTTTTAGTTTTGGATAGAGTAGAGGTGGGTAATGATCCCTGCGTGTTTCTTTTTTTCTAAGACTCAATGCGTAGATTTCTCTTTACTTCTGTTACCAAAGACACAACAGGAAATTAGAGGAAATCTTTCTAAAGTCTTACTTGTCACTGCAACAAGTTCTCCATTGAATTATTTCCCCTCTATTACTCATCAAGTGACAGCTCAAAATTTAGACTTTTCCCTTACCTTCAGTCCCCTTGACAATGGTCACCAGAACAAATAGGGTAAATCTCTACAGAGGGGACCCAGACTGCATTAAAAACCTGACTAACCCCAAACTAAAAAAAAAATTAAAGTGCTGGCTTTAAGTTGCTCTCAAAACATGACTTTTCCTCCTTGGCCCCACCTCCTCCTTTGCTCTTGAGCCTACTACTGCTCCATTTTTGCGGCAAGCAGTCACATTCATTATTAGGGATGCTTAAGGAGCAGAGCAGGGTTGGGCCTAAAGTTTCATCAGAGAAAGTCAAGATTTTTATATAACTTTAGCTACCTATGTCTGTTTATCCAGTGATCATTTTAACATTAAGTATTTACTTAAGGTAACCTTTGATTATGCATTTTTGTCAAGGTTTACAATTTATTCAGTTTAAGAATAATGCAGCAGCTATCAGACATAGTAAATGGGCCCTTGTACTTTTTTAAGTAGGTCAGTTAGATTATTTGCAGAAGTACAAATATGGTCCGGTTTGAACGTGAGACATTTTCCTAATTATCAAAGGATGTAAATATTTATTTAATTTGTTATGTATAGTAACAATGTTAAATGCTCCAGGTGAACTGTCATGTCACCTGTCATGTCATCTTGCACATCATCTTTACTAGATATTATTATATTAATAATAATAATGAACCCTTTAACAAACAGCCTCTTAAATGGTCATCTTATAATGTAAATATTCATATATACAACAGTTTACAGAATTACTCTTGTCTGGGTGGAAGTGCTTTCTTTCAGAGAAAATCTGGGTTTTATTTGAACTTCTTTCGTCATAATGTTAGAAACTAAAGGAAGTCCTACTAAGACCAGCTGATATATACAGTTATTTGCTAGTTGTCTGCTATCTGCTTTTACGTTTTAAAATGCTGAGCTGTACTTCTGTGTATTTTACCTATAAATTACACAACTTTATTCATTTTCAGTTTCTCCAATATGTCATGGTGTGATTATTCTTCTTCTGATAATAAGATTTTGTACTTACTATAAACTCTTTTTCTTGGAGTCCATTGAGGGACAGAGGAATTCAGGAATCCTGAAACAGTCAGGTTATAATGCCATCTGCAGGACTTTTGAACACTGGCAAACCGAAAAAAAAGAGTCTCTAACTATCATGCCTCAGTTTTGTAAGCAAACAGTACATAAGGCCAATTAACACAGAGGAGCAGGACCTGTGTCTCCCAATGGACTCCCCAAAAATAGATTTTATGGTAAGTACAAAAATCTTATTTCCATTATCGTCCATTAAGGGACTCTGGATGTCCAAAAACAGTCCAACTGAGGGGAGGCCAACAGCATTTGGCAGAGCTAACAGTGAAGAACCAGGAGCCATCTGCAATAAACACAAGGACCAGTGCCCGAATCCCCCAACAGGGGAACTGCTAAAGAAACAGAATAGTTAACAGATTAACCTGATGCTCAGACTACCTTAAAGGATGCTGAGTCTGCACCAACAGAAGCTGTGCTAAAGCAACCACCAAAAGTTGAAATAATATAACTACCCTAATGGTGAGAACAGACCAATAACAAGAATAGTCAACAAAGGAAAAACTTGAAAGTTTCCCAGCTTTAAAACAGATCAGGTAAAGCTGGATTACAGGTCCACAAGGTAAGACCAACCAGTCTTTCCTTGACTGTTTGGACCAAAGACTTAAAATTCTGACCATAGTTATCCGGAAAGAAAGGCTTCAAAAAAGAGAAGTGATGTTTAGGACACCAATTCAATCTCATATGATAGGGAACTATCTAGCATAATAGTTCCCTATGGTCTAGTGCCTGAGAAGTTGGAGACAACCCCATGGAACCAGAGCCACAGTAGGAGGGCCTGACTAAAAACAATCCAAACCCATGAGGACACCCAGATGTTTGCTATCTCCCATGGTGAGCAGGGTTGCAGCTGGAATTTTCTGCTGACGATTCAAGCGGACATCAAGCTCATTAGTGATGGTTTCTTACTGCCATGCAGGAGTTAAAGCACACCCAAGTGCACAAATCTTTGCTACAGGATGGTGAGACCCAGAAGGCAAAAACGGTGCCTCTAAAGGGAGCCATGTGGTTGAGAATAGTATCCATAACCATATTCAGCTTAGGGACCAAGTCACTCACTCTGTCACAGGGAGAATTACTTAACTTTCCCATAGGTGAATGACTTACAACACCAAAGTAATGTCCAATATCCTTGCCACCTCCAGAGGCCTAGTCACAGATTGAGTCATTGGAAAGTAACCCCTGAGGCTGTTCCATGATTCTGGATGAGAAAAGTGTTCTACAGCTAACTTAACCAGTACACTCAGGTGTGGAAAGTGTTACAGTGCAGAGCCTAGTGCAGGAAGGTCACATTTATGGCCACCAAAGCTAATGCTGAGATTACGGCGATCCAGATAGCTGCTAGGTAGAGACCAGCTCTAGCAGCGGCTTGAAAGTCTTCAATGATCTTGAGTTCTTAAAAAGAAAAAAAAAAGCTAGTAAAAATTATAGGAAACTATTTCAGCAGAGCCAAGGACACAGCATCCTACCCCCTAAGGTTATACAGGGGCCAGTTTTTTTTCTGTTTGCCAATGTTCAAACCTCCTATAGGCGGCAGTATAACCTGACTATTTGAGAATCCCTGAATTTCTGCGTCCCTCAATAGCCGATTAAAAAAAACATCCTTGCTGTCAAAATGTTTTTTCTGTATAAGTAACTCAAATGAAATGTATGAGCAGGTCTTTCTCTCAATTTATCTCCTTTGTAGAGAGGGTACGGGTCTGCCCAGAATTACCACCTTCAGCTCCACCTCCACTTAAACCCCCTCAAAAAAATCTTACATCTAAAAATGTAGTTGGCAGTTATAAGAAAAATGAAGCAGCTACAAAACAGTCTGTGGTTAGTTCTAGAAAGCAGCCACCAGCCACCCTTCCCAAGCCAACAAATCGAGCACCACGCAGCACTGGTAAGTGTGGCCAGGCTTGATGGCTACATTGCATGTTTGCGCTGTGTAATCCCCCAGGCATGTCTTCCCATAAGCCCTTGTATCGTCTCTCAGTATTCTGTGTTGTGAAATGCATCGATCCTGATCTTAATGTGGTTTTAGCTGTCAATGAAAAGTAAACCCTCTTCCTGACATCCTTCCGTGTGGTAGCCAAGGGGTCCTTCTATCCACACACCAAGCTTTCCTTAATATAATATGATGGCTAATCATTATAATTTTTGAGTGTTTGCTATGTCTGTGGATAGACGCAGTCAGCAAATGTAGAAGAAGTAAAGGAAGGAGAAACTACCATTGCTTGGTAGGGAAATATGGTGGAAGGGGATCAACTTTTATTGTAAACTGGAATCCCTTTTATAGAGGCTGATTTATGTACATTTTATGTGTTTGTTTTTTTTGTTAGAGTCAACTGAAAAGACTGTAGGAGTGCCTGAGTCAAAAACAAAAAAAGCTGTCACAACTTCCAAAATTTCTGCTGCTTCTGCTGGACCAAGCCATAGGAAAGATGAGCCTTCCAGCAAAAAACCTGCCAAAAGCATTTCCAAACAGCTGTCTGCTCCGGCACTTAAGATAACAGGTCGAGCAGGCACACAAGAGAGTAGTAAGTAAATTAGAGATTACACTAAATTGCTCAAAGTGAATTAACAGACAACAGTGTGCACCCTTAAAGTATTATGTTATTTGGAGGGTACTTACTATGGTTGCCTTTTAAAGGCTTTGTAATTGTTTTCCACTTGTTAACTTCCCAAGTGCAGTTATGTTACTCTTTGTTTATTATCAAAGCACACAATTGTGATTTTGTTCACCACCATGTTAACACTTTTGCTTTACTTACTTTACATTCAAAGCAGAAAATGCACTATAATTTCAGTGGGAATACGGCCCCCAATTGCAGCAAACTCTCAAAAATCTGGTCTTTGAAATGCTGGAGAACTTAATATTTCTTGATAAGGAGATTTCAAAGTCATGATTTGTGATGCTATTCATCTCAGTTGGCCAGCACGCACACATTTGCACATTACTCTCTCAGTAAATGGAATTTCTCACCTTTATTCAAAAAGAGGACAGAATACATTGTGGCCAACTAACGACTCACTGTAGCCAACAGGAAAACAGTTCCTCTGTCACACGTGGCAAGTCTGGTGACTGGTGGCACACATAACCTCAACTGTCAGGTGAAAATTACTAGTCAGACTGGGCTCACCTAATTTGATATGTACTGTTATTTTGCACACATATGCTGATCATTTTCTTTATTTTAGATGTCTCTTCAAGTACCCGAAAAACAGCTGCCACTAAGACGTCTTCTTCCACACTGGCATCAACTTCTTCCAGGCCAAAAGCTTCAAAAGAGCAGTTATCCAGCAAAACTGGGAACTCTACCACTCCAAGAGCCAAAAAATTGCCCAGCAAATCTTTATCTGTGGATCAGCCTATGTTGTCGCATACTAGTGCTACAGGCCTAAAAAAACGGGACAGGACTGAGCAGGCTACTCAGCAGATGGACTCTGAGAAACAAGAGACTGGTCCCACAGAAAATACCCCCACAGAACAGCAGCAAAAGTCCACTTCTCCTGCTGTAAAGCATCATTTAAAATTTCAGTGCAATATATCTAATGCACCGCAAGAGGAAAGTCAACACGATGACTCTGCCACTGTTAGTGAAAGTGTACAGTCAGCAGAAAACAGAAGTGACAGCCAAACTAGCTTAGAAATAACTGGCGTGGATGAAGAAAATACTGAAAGGTAAGTAAAGGAAAGCATTCAAGTGTAGAAAGATCTGGCAGCCGCATAAAGGTATATAATATATTAAAAAAGCTAAAGCTTTAACACAAGGATAGGGATCTTTATTTTAGCCCCGTAATGGCAATTTTCAAATCTAATTTGACTAATATAAAAATAGGGATCCTTACCAGGTGTGATGTTTTGTGAATTGAGGCCTATGTATTGCAAATTTAACAGTAGCTTCCCAAATCCATGTTTTGATTGAAAAGATCACTGAGTGGTATTAAGAAGGGTAGTTCATCTTTGCATATAATAAAGAAACATGTTTGTCTGTCATAAACAAAATACCTGTATGAAAAGCCTCAAAAGGAAGTTTCCATTCTTTCCTGGATTGCATACTAGTTCAGGGCCAGTCACATAACAATGTTACTATAGAATAGAACTTGAAGGACAATGCAAAGCTCATTTTTACACAGTATATAAGGGCCAGTTTACACCATAGCGCTGCATTAAAGGCACGGTATGTTTGTGTTTAGCGCCAGCCAGGAGGTGTGTCAGGGTCTCATTCAAATGAATGTCAATGCAGTGCACACCTAGCTTGCAGTGCATTGCACTGCGTGATAGCATGCGCTTAACACATGGGCACTGCGCCTTTAGTACAACGCTATGGTGTGAACTGGCCCTTAGTGCCTATCTTTCAATATAGTCTGTAATATGAAAAATATGTAAACATTCTTAAAATCTCCTTACGGTACTTCAAAAAGGTATGTTGGCATTGAATAAAATTGAGCTTTTAATATATGCAAGTAGAATAAATAATTATAAAAGAAAAGAAAAACAAGATGTATGCATTCTATAGCTAATCTAATATGTTCATGTGTCTGCACATTGGTTATTTATCAAAAATTGTTTAGAATTCCTGAAGTGGTAACGTTGTTGGAGTAGTAATGTCTTCTCTACTAGCTATATGCCAATACACTGTTTATCCTAAATCAGACCTATATCCTCACCATAATATTCATTTTCCTTTTTACATTACCCCATGAGGGATAATATCAATAATGGGTACAGAGAGATAAGAAAAGCTTTCTGTTGCCTTGTAATCTTTGGAATTCTTCACCCTGCAGCAGCTCTGTGCTTTCTGCCAAAGAGGAGAATCAGTACCTCATGACCTCTTACCCTAGACTTGATGTTTATAAAGTAATGTTCTAGTGAGAGTAAAGGTCTCCTATAATCGTTCACTAGCACTGTAAGTTTCAGGAAAATGCTGTTGTATATGTGTTAATCCAGTCCTGAGAATTACGCAGACCAATTGCTGACCTGCGCTCATTTATGACTGGCTGACAGTGAATGTGCCGGCCTCTAAGACTGGTATATCCACTGCAAGCCATAGCCTAGGGTAGTTCGGCGACCAGTCTGTGTCTGGACCGCATTCCTCTTTCTTCAATGGTTGCTAGGACCACTGGCACCCTAGCAACCAATGATTAAAGGAGTCCTCCTCCTTTGCAGTCATTGGTTGCTAGAGCTGCAGGGCAATTCTAACAACCAGTGACAAATTCCCCCCCCCTCCTCTGTCCTCCTTTGTCCTGCTCCTGCAGCTCCACCTCCCAGCTTGCACCTGTGGCCTGTAAAGAAAGAAAACAAAAAGATATGTTGCACATACTTCGTGTGTCATAGAATATGGGGACAATAAAGCTTCATTCAGGGCCCGTTCACCCCTATGCCGTGTGATTAACGCATGATACTGTGCAACTTATCTACCATGCATGACAGTGCGGCAGGTGCATTGTGTTGCATGTACTACTTTTTTTAACTGCAACACACCACATGATATTACGGTACTATGCATTGCAGTGCATTTGATTGCATTGCGGCCAGGAGGTGCCTTTGGGGTCCTATTCAAATGGATGGGAACGCAAAGCACCTGCCTCAATGTAACACGCGGTCGATGCATATTACGGTACCGTGTGTTAATCGGTTTTGCCCTCCACAACAGTCCCATTTTTTCATGTGGTCGCTCAGGAAAATGAATTGCCCACCCCTGTTCTTACATCTGTCACCTTAACAGGGAGTGAAGAGAGATCCCCTCAGGAAAGACACAGACAGCATTAATCTGACAGAGGTTCTAGTCTTGGAGTAGAGTTGGAATTTAAGGTCAACATTACTCTAAATTGAAAATGTATATCATATGGATAGATATAGAAGTTCTACAGTAACATTTTAAAATGAATTTGTCTTTATTACTCTGTGTTTTATAGTGAGTTTCCTTTGGAAAGTCAGGAAGACACCTCAAGCCTTAAAAGCCAGGAGACAACAGATGAACCTTCTGACACTTCAGTCATTCCAGATGGAGATAGTGAAGGCAAAGAGAACCAAACGAGTGATTCTGACTCAGATGGACCCATCCTGTACACAGATGATGATGATGACGATGATGATGACGGCACAGAAAGTAAGTAAGAATTACTAAAATATCTACAGCAGGCAGTGCCTCTGATTCCTCCAGATGCCGAGGCACTTATGGCTTTCTAGGCATGCTAAAATAATATGCCATAATAATTTCTGAAATGCCACTTTAGCACGCTAAATTGTAGCTCCACATGTCTCCATTCTGACAGCACTGACAGCTTTTTAGTGGTGATGCACTGAAAATGGTACTTTGGGCAAAATGCTGAAAGTGCCATAACGGATGAAAATTCAGTGCATTTCTAACTTCACTCCTTCCCGCTGGGAACTGGTCTGTGTCTCGTCCGATCCCCGCTGCTCTTACCTGCCTGTGTCGGCAGAGGCAGCAAGGATCCAAGGGGACAGTGACTGGCGTCCAGCGGGGAGGAGAGAAGGTTTCAGGAAGCCGGGCGGGGCGGAGACAGCTGTTATAGGAGTCGAGCTCTCCTCCCGCAGCGCCCGCTTGGCTCCGGTGACAGGCAGAGTCAGGATGCCGAGCGGTGTGGGGGAGGAGCAAGCTTTCAGGAGGCTGAGTTCTCCTCCTGCACCTCCAGTCTCTGCCTCCTGTGACAGCGAGTCAGGATGGAAAGTGGTATACAAACCAGTGGAACGCTTACTGTGTCCCCAGCTATGAATGAACAGGAAGTTCTCTACATCACTTCCTGTTCATTCATGATTGTGGACATAGCAGTGTTAATTTTATCGTCTAAAAATTTAGTCCTAGTTTTAGTCAGCTGCATGTTAATAGTGATGGAAACTAAATAAAATGAAGTTAATGGAGATTTAGTTGACTAAACTAAACCTAAAACAATTCAGATTACTAAAATACAACTAAAACTAAAATGCCATTTTAGTTTTAGTTGTACTTTAGTTTGTCGTATTTTAGTCATCTGAATTGTTTTAGTTTTAGTTTAGTTTTGTCGACTAAATCTCCAGCAGAGAAAATTGCAATGTATTTTCGTCATAGTTTTTTTTCCGTTTCCATTTCCTTTTTTATCACTAAAAACATGCAGCAGTTGAAAACTATTACAAATAATATTAGACAACGAAATTAACACTGCGACATAGTAACTCATACTATTTTCAGTTTATGAATGGACAGGAGAACTCAGTATAGAGGCTTCCTGTTTATTCATTACAGGGGCTGTAGAATAAGAGATTGAAGACTCTGTGTCCTGAATCTCTTTTTCTATTTTAAAAGGGAAATATCAAGGGCCTGGCTAGACCCCTGATATTTCCATAAATGTAAAGTAAAAAAAAAAAAAAAAATTACCAAATCATTTTTAAAAAAATGTAAAAAGGTTGGGGAAAAATATGTAATTTTCGGTTGCGGCCTGCCAAATATTTTGTTGGTTTCGGTCTAAAAATTCCATTTCGGCGCATCTCTACTTTTTAGTTAAATGTGCAGCTACACTTCAAGTACTGCTGTAAATAATGAATTGGGGACATTTAAAAAAAATGGTAGACATACACTGTATTTGGAAAGTTAGGTGAAAAATGTTTATTAAGGCTTCCTTTACACTTGTTTGTGGTAGCTGAACATCGATTTGTGCCCATTGCAGTGCATCGCCATAAATTAAATAAAAAAATATAATTTTTTTTAAACATTACCCTAGTTCTATATGGAAAGAAGGCCATAAGTTTGCTCGCCTCTTACCATGTTGATACCAGGTCACACATCTCCCTTGTGAGCTGATATTGTTGTTTAGCTTACTGGAGTGAATATAAGTTTGCAAAAAAAAAATAAGACTAGTTTTGAAACTGAAGACCTCAAGGAATGTGAGCTCTGAATGTCATTTGCTTTTTTATAATTATCTGCTACGCTTTCTTAATTCAATATGTAATTATTAGTCCTTGAAAGTAAAAAGCAATATAGAAAAGAGTCATCGACATTCCAGATGTCATATACCTTCATCCTTTATTCATGCAAGTCAATCATAGCACAAAGCAAACATTGTTTGTGCAATGGGACATGTACAATAGTTTGTACTGCAAAGTGAAAAGGCACCAAAACACACATATACAGACAAAAAAAAAAAGCAACTGATCATCAGCGAAAGGAAAAATTAATGAAAGTGTGTTTTTGGGTCTGTGGACATGCGAGAGGGCTCGTTGAAAAAAAATGGACTAGTACATGTTAATGGTTCGTGTCAAAAAGGTGGGATATAGTGGAAAATTAGATTTCTAAACATATAGGGTATACATATAGCAATTTGCAGGGCCTTTTGCCCAACGTATTAATCTCCTCTGCTCCGTCTAGTAGCCATGTCTAGTGGTATTACATCCCCATACATTCAACCTGAGAAAAAACTATATTACAAACGTTTGTTTTTGAATTTTTTTTGCCACTTTGTACTGCAAATTGTTTATAAATAGACTCCAATGTGATTTCCTTTCTTGCAATCTCGTCAAAGGAATCTTAGAACTGTCATTTGGTTATACCTTTCACTAAAAAACACACAGCAAACAACTGTCAAATATCTCAAAGAAAATACATAAATTAGTTTACAGACCCTAGCAAGCCCTAACTAAACATAAATGGGGGAATTTATTAAAACTGGAGTAGACAAAATCTGGAGCAGCTGTGCATGGCAACCAATCAGCTTCTGTCCAGTTTGCTCTGCTAAGATTTGAAAATGAAAGAGAGAAGCTGATTGGTTGCCATGAACAGCTGCTTTAGATTTTGTCTGCTCCAGTTTTGATAAATTCCCCTCAATTACTTTAGTATTAAAGACTCAGGCTGTAACACAATAACCGGACCATCTAACTGAGTGCACTATGTACATCAAATGCACTATGATTGTCACGATAATACCTAGCACTGGAACTTGTGAATTTGTTGAGCCTGAGTATATCACTGTTACTAGTTGAATGAAATTGGTCACTACAGAGTAAGAGATGCATATTACCATTTATTACTGGATTTAAGTTGTTCTTCTCTTGCTCATGGATTTAACTTTTATGACGAAAATCACTTCTGCAATAGAACCATCATGTTCAAAATTAAACAATATATGACTTTACATAAAACAATTGCATTACCATAAAATATGAGAGCGGTTACAGCAGCAAACAAAGGGAATTATAAAGCATTGCCAATATATATAATTTGACTGTTTAGCTGCTCATAGTAGTTTATTTGCTGTCTAGTTGTTAGCTATAAATGTAACTAATTAGAGCAAGAGAAACAGAGACCAGAAAAAGGTTAAAGGAGAACTATGGGGTCAGTGTTTTTCCCCATAGTTATCCTTAGGGTAACGGGAGGACACAAACTAGCGTCCTCCCATTACCCTAAGCTCAGTATACCGCGAGCTACAGCTCGCGGTATACTGAGACGCCGCAGCCGGAGCGGATCCCGACGTAGATGACGGGATCCGCCCAGCTGCGTGAGTGACAGCTGGCTCTGCCTATCAAGAGGCAGAGCCAGCTGTACCCGCCCCCTCCCCCGTCCGTTCCGCCAGTCAGCGCTGGCAGATCGGAGCGGGGAGAGGGGAATCCAGCCCCTCCCCCTGTCACAGCAGAGAGCTGTGACAGGATCGAGAGGCGAGCAAACCCGGTATGTGTTCGCTCACCTCCCGATCTACTGAGCCGACCTGTGACAGTCTCATTGTCACAGGTCGGCTAGAACTATGAGGTGAGTGAAAAGCAATCACCTCATAGTTCTCCTTTAACTAATAAGTAGGGATGCACCGAAATTTCGGTCGCCAAAACATTTCAGCTGAAATTGGCACTTTTGGCAAAATGGTACTGGCCGGTCTGTGTGTCTTCCAATGCACGGGCCGCCACCCAGCCGGGAGGAGAGAAGCTTTCAGGATGCCGAGCGGTGGGGGAGGAGAGTGCTGACATAGTTCTCCTTTAACAAGACACAGAAAAACATGTATGTCTAGCTAGCAGTCCTACATGGTGCCAAGTACAATCTACATTGAGGGGAGCCGACAAAATCTAGAGCAGTTGCCCAAGGTAACTAATCAGCTTCTATCTTCAATTTTCAAATCTTAACTGAACAAACTGAAAAGAAGGCCATTGGTTGCCATGGGCAGCTGCTCCAGATTCTGTCTGCTCCAGTTTTGATAAATTCCCCACATACTATTTTATAAATGTTTCTGAACTTAGCTGCTATTGCTCAAATATGTTTCCAGTCTTGATCTTTCAGTTCACCTACTGATTTGCAATCTGTTAGGTGAATGTGATGTACTTTAATCACTCCACTGTGTATCCTATTTTAAGGTAAATTAGCAAGTAAAATCCGCCGTAGAGATACGCTTGCTATAAAACTTGGAAACAGACCATCTAAGAAAGACCTAGAAGACAAGAATATTTTGCCTCGTAATTCTGAAGAAGAGCGTCAGGAGATGTGGCAGCAGATTGGAACAAAGCTAGTGAGGTAATGATGTTTTACTTTACATAACGGGGGGTAAAATGACAGGTGTTCTTGAATCTGGGTTTGAACTGCCCCCATCCTAGGGCCTTGTATCTGATGATAGTTGCCTGCTCTGACACCCCTTTTGCAGTATGACTGTATAGGATCCATCGTATAGTACTGTATGTAGCCCGTGCTGAGTAAACGGAAAGAAAGTGAAAAGAGTAAACCTCTGCAAGTGCTAAAAATGAGAAAACACACAAAGTATACAGTGCCAAAAAACTAACACTCCCAAAGTCACAACAGCTGCTGCAAAAATATCTTAAAATATTGAGAAAATATTTTTTGCTCATATATGGTTTTTCTAGTGGTAGGTTATGAAGCTGAGAGTAAGTTACAGTACTATGCTGCCTTTGAAGAAAGCCAGTGTGCAACTTAAACCCTATAATGACACAGCTTTAAATATTGTGTTCCTTGTATCAGTATCACATATGGCATTATTCCTCTGTACCATTTGTAAGCTAAGATGCCTTGTTTTCCTCTATTCTTTTTCATACAGCTGACCTCAGTGGACCTTCCACTAAACTGAGCACAGCATATTTTGTTTATTGCAAAAGTTCTGTACATCTGTATAAGGTATTATTTTGAGTATCTCTGTTTCCCTATCATTTGAAAACCAGTAATAAACATTCCACAATATCTCCGCTAAATATCCATTTGTCAACATGATTACAGATACAGAGAAGCATTTGCAGCAGATAGTTGCTGGTTAAGAGGAGAGTAGGTGTTCTGACCTGTCCTTTCTTAATTCTCCTCTATCACAGCCAATTCGTTTTTATGATAACAGTTTTGTCAAGCATGTATGGAAACATGGAATTTTTAATACTTACCTATGATTTAGTGGTCATGTAATTAAGAGATGTTTTTCCCAATTGCTACATCAAAATCCTTATTCTCTGTATTTTTATAGGAGACTTAGTCAAAGGCCCACCTGTGAAGAGCTGGAGCAAAGAAATATCTTAAAACGTAAATATATTGTTTCTTAAAACTCATCAGCTTTTGAAGAGAATTCAAATAACTTTTGACTGATGTTCCACTCATTGTAGGCTCTTCTAGGCAGTTTATTTTTGTACATTAGCCAAATACAACAATGGATTGTGCAAAGATTGTCCCTTAATATGTAATGAAATCATGCAAGCATCTCAGTATATACAGTGGTGGAAATATGCGCATTAGAGAACTTGGGAGCCTGGAATCCTTCACAGAGAAGGGTGATAATCTTGTACAAATGAAAACAAACTAGTATTACTTAGTTGAGTTTTAATGATGCAGATTTAGGGATACACAATTTATTATTACATTTACACATTCTTCAGAAGATTTTTGTTGTAAGAAAACTGGCTTCTTGACCACTGCCATACACTCATTAATTAGTGCTGTATTGCTAGTCACAATCAAATGTATCTTTTAGGACACCACATGCTGGTATCCTGCAGAGCTAGCAAGACCAGATATGTTGAGCTATACTGAGAATACCAGACTCAAATTTAAGTGAAGCAATAAAATTTAAGAACACAACACAAAAGTAATATAAAACATAAATACAGCAACCAATACAAACCCCAGTGAGAAGACGTTGAAAGTGAAACTAACGTACTATATAGTGAGAAGAAAGAGAAATCCGGTAAAACAGGGACAGGCGGCGGTTCAATGAACAGAGATCAAGACAAGTCAGGAATGGGGACTGGAATAGGTAGCAGGTACTAGGGCAATAGGTACATGTAGCAGATTGAGGAGGTAACAAAAAGCAGGTCAGGAACTGGGGCCAGAACATGTAGCAGGCAGGGTCCCGAACCCCTAGATCCATGGAGGTCCAGGCAAATCACCCACTTCCTGCGATCTCTCCCACCTCCCTCACAGCTCTCTAGGGCCCTGACCCCATACGAACGTGAATGTGATCAAGAGGGCCAGGCCCGTCATGTCCTCTCCTTTTGTTACAAACTTCTCATAACTGACTTCCCCGACACGACACCGTGGTTTCTACAGAGATGGGAGGACGACCTCGGGATACGGCTGGACCCAAGCGACAGCAGGAAACTGCTGACACTCTTACCAATCGTCAATTAGCAACAAGTACCAAGAGGCGGGGTACAAATTGGTTACCAGGTGGTATAGGACGCCCAAGGCCCTCCATTCTATGTACCCTCAAACGCCGGCCACCTGTTGGCGGTGTAACGCCCCATCGGCAGACCTGCTGCACATATTCTGGTCGCTCCCAACTCTACAAACTTTCTGGGACCAAGTCCATGCCACCACCCAAAAATTCACAGACACCACGCTGCCACGGGATCCGGCCCTCTTCCTGCTACACCACACTACCCTCCCAATTAAAACCTACAAACGCTCCATATTGCGCCACCTCATCAATGCCGCCCGGGCCTGTATCCCAGCCCTTTGGAGGAACCCTGAACCCCCTACGGTCCATCAATGGCTAGCCCGGATCCAAGAAATATATCTCATGGAGGATCTTACAAGCTCCCTCAACAATACCCCGGCCAAATTTAGAGCCACCTGGTTCTACTGGATAGACTTTCTCAACTCCCCGGCCTATATGGCCTTACGTCAGAGCTCTGACGTGTGAAACCCTATCCAATCTTTACCTCCCTGGTCCTTCTCCCTCCCTCCTACCCTTCACCATGCTTAATCCCCATCCTACCTCTGCTCCTCCCCCCCTCATTCCCCTTGCACCCTCTGCTGCCGCCCCCCTCCCCTTATTTGAACTTATTCTGTTTCCCATATGAAGACCCTGTAAGAATACCGTTTCGAGCTCCTATTGAGCCCAAACCCTGGTGATAACAAGTAGACCACTGACTGTAGCTCCCAATAACTTCACTCATTAAACACCCAAGTGGAAATGCCAACGTCCCAGGAGTCTGATCGACACCCTTAATCATACGGGTCCTACCATTTCACCTACCCCCTTCCTTTATCCACTTTGTTTTTTGTTCTCCCCCCTTTGTATGTGTTGTTAAACCTGTAATGCGAAATGTAATATCTGCCCACTTTACTTTCTATGATCTGCCCCTACGGGGTGCTTGACGTACTCCGTAGCTACTAATCAGCATTATGCACCTGAACAACATCCCAAGCCCCTGACGGGCCTTTGGTGTGTCCTACCTATGTAAGAGTGTTATGTCTATGCAAGTTTCTCAGCCCTTGCGGGCCATTGTTGACACCCATTGTACCCTGCTTGTTTTATGTAAAAAGGAAAAAATCTCTTCTAAATAAAGAATTTACAAAAAAAGAACAGGTAGCAGGAACAAAGGGGTACAGGTAGCAGGTACAGAACCAGTGGATCAGCGGAAACAGGCACACTGGTAGGTCACTGAGGAACTATGAGACTGCTGAGGAGGATCTAAATACCCTCCCAGCAGCCAGCATCATTAAAGACTCATTCCTGGGACCTGCTGACTATTGGGAGATGCCCACTGGTGGACACTGAAACCGCACCCTTCAGGTCAGTGGACCAAAGTGCCACCAGCAGGTGTTCTATTTCCTAACAGTATCCTAAACACATCCATTTTCCATGCACCAGGAAAAGTATACACATTGAGGTGAAATTACTAAGAGTAGAGAATGTTCACTTCGCAAACTAAATGTTTATGTAGTAAATAAGGTGAAGTTATGTTCACTTGGAATACACAATCATGTGCAATGAAATTAAGAAAAGTTAATTTTTGCTTGCACATTATTGGATGATTGAAGTAAACAAAGATACACTTTATCCACTAAGCTGAGTAAACATTCAATTTGTATCTAACACAATAGGCATTTCTTTAAAATTGCAGTCACTTTGTTGGTGTTCGCTGGATCTGCAACAGTAAATATGTGCTAGATAAAGCAGACACTTGTGAACAACAGACCACTATCCAGAAAGTAGCTGCAAGTGATGCTTTATATGGGCTATATATGCTCTTACACCAACTTTTATGCATTAATCAGGAATAATTGAAGTGTCTAAAGGTGCATTTTATTACCAACTTTTATGCATTAATCAGGAATAATTGAAGTGTCTAAAGGTGCATTTTATTAAACAGAAAGCTTGCTATGATATAATATATTCTTGGGCTTTTGCCTCAGCTTTCAATGACAGGAAATCTCTTCCAGGAAAAGAATTTGTAAACAGCTGAGTAAACAGACAAAGGGAAAAGCTTCACAATGGTTCACACTCCAACCTGTTATTTTCAATAGAGATGAATGCAGTTTTCTGCCAAACACTGAAGAACAAAAACTGATGTTGTTAGTACAGTTTTCCTAAAATCTGTACCAGCAAAGGATAACAAGTGTATAATGCATGTGTGTATATGTGTATGTATAAGGAAGCCGGTGTTCTATAGAAGGAGCACTGGCTTCACTTGCCGAGGCTGCCTGGCTTCCTTACCAATAAGGAAGCTGGGCGGTGGGTCATTAGGGGCCGTCCGGCTTCCTCATTGGTCAGGAAGCCAGGCTGCCTAGCAACAAGTGAAGCTGGCTTCCTAGCCCATCAGTTAGCCGGGCAGCACCCACCTCCTGGCTTCCTAAATGGCTAGTAAAGCCAGCTTCACTGGTTGCTAGGCAGCATGGCTTCCTGACCAATCCCGTCCGGCTTCCTGATTGGTTAGGAAGCAAGGCTGCCTACCAACAAGTGAAACTGGCTTCCTAGCCAATCAGGAAGTTGGATGGCGAGTCATGACCCGCCTCCTGGCTTCCTGATTGGTTAGGAAGCCAGCTTCACTTGTTTCTAGGCAGCCTGGCTTCCTGACCAATAAGGGAGGCGGGTAATTACGAGCGGCCTGGCTTCCTAGCCAATCAGAAAGCCGGACGGCATGTCATGACCAGTCTCCCAGCTTCCTGATTGGTTAGGAAGCCAGCTTCACTTGTTCCTAGGCTGCTTGGCTTCTTGACCAAGCTGCCTAGAAAGATCCATGCTCCCTTGGAGATCTCCCTCTGACCGGAAGTTCCGGTATCGGAGATAAGCATCCGAGCATTTGAGCAAGTACGAGTACTCACCCAAATACTTAGTATCGGCACCAATACAAGCATCGGTATTGGTGCATCCCTAATATCTATATATTATGTATAGATAATGTGTGAATGTATGTATATGTATGTGTATATATATATAGATATATATGTGTGTGTGTGTGTGTGTGTGTGTGTGTGTATGTTTTTACCATTTTCATTTAAAACATAATTAAGCTTTCTTACTCATCATTTCTCATGTTTCATCAGAAAAAAATGAAGAAGAGGAGCAGGAAGCAAGAAGAGAACTGAAGCGAAGGCTTACTCGCAAGGTAAAAAAAATCTCCTGAAATTACGAAGAATATGTTCTAGCTAGAGGTGCACCGAAATGGAAATTTTAAAACCGAAACGAAACCGAAATTTTAAAAAATGTCAGGCCGAAACCGATGCCCGAAAATGTTTTTTATTTTTTAAAATAGCATTAAAAAAAATAAACTTTCATTATTTAACCCAGCAGAGTACCGAGGGATTCAGGGAAAAGTTTTGACTAAAAGAAGTCACAGCTATGTCTACTAAGATGCCAATATGTTAGACACTGGGCAACTGTACAGATTATTATATTCAATGGTTAGCCCTACTGCTATGTTGTAGTGGCATTATATGTCTAATAACTCTTTTCTGTCTGCATCTTAAAAGTACCCCAACCCCATACCATAGAGCCTATATAGAACACTGATGAAAGGAATTAAGCGCCTACTATATTTAGATCAGTTATCGATTAATACTTAGGCAGAACAGATCGTCTTTTGCTACTAGACAGTTTACAGTGACCTTGCAAGAATAGTGGCCTAGATTATTACATAAAGTTTGGTCTTATATCATGTTTTATGCTGCTTGCTATAATAACTTTTCTCTTTTCTTTGCTTCTCATTTACAGCTCAGCCTGAGGCCCTCAGTGGCTGAACTGCAGGCCAGGCGTATCTTGTGCTTCAATGAATATGTAGAGGTTACAGATTCTCTGGACTATGACCGCCGAGCTGATAAACCCTGGGCAAGGTTAACTCCTGCTGATAAGGCAAGGGCACATACTTTCTCTAGTAGCAGTCATTGTGCCTGGATGTTTATGTGATAATTAACCACTCTTCACACCACTCCATGTTCTCAGTTGCTGTCTAATATATGCAAACTAATATATGCAAAGAGGGCTAATACATACAGCATCTCTATACATTATAAACCATAATACATTTATTTGTTCAGATTGTTTAAAGATGACGGATGTTTTTTTTTTTTTTTTTAAACCATAAATCAGCTATATTGTACAAATGCAAGATAAAATAGGACGGTATGTATTACCTTATAGAAATAACATAATAACTAGTATCCATATGGGACAAGTGGCATACATCGATTGTATCTCAAATACTACAGCATTAATGGGCTGCCCGCCATGGGAGAACAGTCATCGTAGGGCCAGAACAACCCTGTCTGGTACAACAAAAGGCATGAGCAGTACACGATATCATACAATGCCGACACTTCTCAGAGTCGAGCGCAGCACACCACTCTGATCATGTCCAAAATCAAATGTGAAAACAAATACAATGAGTAAATCGTACCTGTATTGATCCATGTTTCCACTCACACATCAAGTTACGAAACGAGATATGATACGAGTAAGTTAGCAAAGAGAAAGACAAGGGGGTAGGTAACCAGTAAGTTATAGGGAATGACAGGCAGAGGGGGAGCCAGAGGGAAAAGGAGTAATATCCGGGTAGGAGATGACGGATCGTGGAGATGACGGATTTTAAGGTTTGTTCACTTATATTCTAAAAAACATAATATAATTATCACCCGATCCTGATGATTTTAGACAGATCAAGTGATGGTTATGATGCCTAAGAGCAACTTTAGAATGCACTAGACTTTAAACAATAAATTAAATAAAAACATTAGCAGAGATAGATTTTTGAGGCCTGTAAATATTCTATCAGGATATAATGGCAGCAGGGGTGTGTCTAATGAATGTATAAACATGCACATACCCCTCATGAGCAGAGCCCTCCTAAGCCTCCTGTATTCAAATTGTGTTGTAACTGTACCGTCTCCTTCCATTTTGTAAAGTGCTGTATAAACTGTTGGTGCTATACAAATCTTGTATAATAATAGTAATTATATGTGTATGATGTGAGTAGGTATTCTGCCAGAATAGAACTGGCACCAGAAGTGTGTCTGTTGCATGTAAAAACATGCATATATGTGTGTGATGTGGGTATGTATTCCACCAGGATATTACTAGCACCGGGTAGGTGTCTACTAAAGGTATAAACATGTACATATGTGTCAGGTGAGTAGGTATTCCAATAGGATATAACTGGCAACAGGAGTGTGTCTACTGCAGTTGTAAACATGTACATATCGGTGATGTGAGCATACATGTTTATTTATTAATCTCTAGTTACTTTACATCGTACATCCAGCAGCCATCTTCTGTGGCCAGGCTGCACTTTAAGCAATGTTTAATAGAGTTTAGGCAAACTCCATACTTTACAGGTTTCATTGGTGATCTTCAGACTTGTATGTGAAACACATATTTTGTTCACTAATTTCACTAACTAGCTTTACCATCTGTGATCAGTATTAACTGGCACAGGTAATTTGTCAATGAATTTACTACTGCTAGGAACTT